AAAGGTTGTTCGAATGCCAATTTAGGATGGAATCATATGAAGAAACTATTGGCTAAATGGTAAAAGCCGATTTTGGACCTAATTTGTCGCAGATTTCATCCACTTAACTGAAATAATCTAAACCAAACATTCACACAAGACAATTTGTGTGTCATATGTAATTTACATGACAAATTTGGAAAGCATCGGCTGAAAACCCAACGGGCCTTTTGAATAGTTTTTCTTGGTTTTTCATTATACACGGAGAAGCGAGCAGGACTAAGACCACACTATCTTATTTCTTAGACGATGGCAAATTTTTGGTGACATGTTCGAAGAAAATCGGATAAAAAAGGAGGAAGTTATTCAAGTTTTTATTTTAAGTAGTACGAAAGACACGATTTTTTTCCGGTTTTTGCAATTTTTTTTATGAAGCCAATGTCGCAGGAAAACTATCAAGCACTCTACATAAACCACGTAAAATGAGCTGTTTGCATTAAGTGCAAAGAACATCAGCACATCCAGTAAAAATTTTGTTCGCGTGTGACTTTGCCTTTTGTTTTTTGCAAAAAGTCGTATCCACCTTCAGTTTTATCGATTTTTTTGCCAAACCCGAGGGGCGTCTGGAGATTGAAAAGTTAGTCTTAACCTATCTTAGTAAATTTGCAACATGTGTCTATAATTTCATCGAAATCGGTTGAGAAATGTGGGCATGCATGAATCGCATACACACATAGACAGACATCCATACAGACATACGAGAACGCGCGCGTAAATATACACACACACACAGAACGAGAGAGAGAGAGAGAGACACACACACACACACAGACATCTTTTGTTTTAGATAGAGATAACTTTGTATTTCCTATCGGTCATGCAGGACAAGAATTCAATCCTAGGATTTCGAACGGAAATTTTCAAACTAGACAAAAATTTTGCCATTTGAAGAATCGGCGTAGTACATTTTTTCTTTATTTATTCTTGTGTCAAAACAATTCTAGCTTATTAAATATGTATGTAATACAAGAGTATTGTTTCAGTTTTTGAATGTTTCCATTAGTATACTAATATATGCCGTTGATTTTTTTTGTCTATGCTAGCGTGTATGATTGTTTATGTGTGTAAGTGTGTGTGTATGGAGCATTCAATGAGTCTCGAACAGACTACTCAGTCGTAATTGTTCTAGCGAGACAAACTTTCTAACCATTACATCACGTCGAGATGACCTAAGTTCCTGTATATGTTGCATATGTATTTCAGCAAAAATACACAGATATGTGCTTATATTGTTTACATAAGGATAGCCAGTTATACAGACACTTGTGTTACATACAAGGCGGTACTGAAAGGCACTCGGCCCAACTCACCAAACTAAACATCAAATATCAGAATCTTGAAGGATTTGTGTTTAGACTTCAGTGTGTTACTTTGGCCACCAAACTCTCCAGATCTAATTCCCATTAAACAATATGCCTGAAATATATATTTGAAAATATATATATATGTATATTAAAGGACTCTCAGTTAACCTCCTAGTGCCCGTTCTCAATGTAAACAATTAGAAATTTTCTTCTTATATATTTAGTGGGAATATAAAGAACTAACATTAACTTATTAGATACTTACAGGCAGCTATTATGTTTTGAATAATCACTACATAAACACATCTCTCCGCACGCATATTGTGGCCGTGTTCATAGTTGATATTAGTAAGTGTTGGTCTTTTCTCTTTTATTAATAAAACCTCATCGCTAATAAATAATAATTCAACTGCGAGATCCAAATTACAGAGACCCACTATTATTTACAAATTCACACTCCCCTTTAGGAACTGTGTTCTTGATCAATCCAACATGACTAATAAGAAGACTCACATCGCACCCCCCTAACTATAGCACAATTTGGTCCCATTTAAATACACATAAAGATCTACCAAACTCTATCCGTAATATACTCGTTGATAATACAAATATAATAGCCCTATACGCATGTAAAGAAAGGCTAAAAATAATGGAAGAATTATTAATAATAATAAAAAAAACACATTCAGTAATATCAATTATTAGCAGTAGCCCGGGGATGTAACAGTAAGAGATAGATCAAGTATCGACCATCATAAAGACTGAAAAATAAAATTGACAAAGATTATTGTTTAAGGTTAACAGACACGCATGTCTTAATTAGTTTTTTTTTGTTTTTTTTACGAATTGGTCAAACCCAAACTCGTTATGAGTCTATCGATTGAATAGAATTTTATTATAAACAATTGTCTTGTAAATGGAATTTTTTAAGTATTCTGAATGTAAAAATAAAGAAAAAAGTGTGCAAGACAATAAGAAACACTACCTGCCAAAAAAAAGTGAAGTTTTGTTGAAATCAGTTGAAAAATGTAGGAAATCCGATCCCATATATAAACGAACAGACACACACATACACACAACCTGGGTTTTATAATAAGTATGATGAACACGGCTACAATGTCCTGACCGTGTTTGGAAAATAAAATATTCCTATAACTCTAGATACGCACATAAAACAATGCATATATTCAGTTAAAAGTAAAATAAAATTCATCTTTGATAATGGCTAAAAGTATAGCAGAAAGCGTTTGGGAAACATTCGGACAATTTTTATATAAAAATTATAAGATGACATGAAAAATTAAATAAAACGTTAAGCACAATACCTTGTCAGTAGTTTTTAATGAAACTTTCATATATATATATATATATATATATATATAATGTTCAGCCAATGCAAGGTCTAAGAGCCACTCAAGGTAGAGTGTTAATGAGTGGTGTCATATCACAATTAGTAAGGTCAATAAGTGATGTTCTTGGGGGCTGTGCAAGAATGATAACGGTTTACTCTAGACTTGAAAAGGTCAAGATTTAATTAGTGAATCAGGGATTTTAGAAGTATAGTTTGGAAGTAGTCTTTAAAAAGGAACTGGAAACCCAATTCTAAACAGGAAAGAAGGAAACCTCTACTCCTGTTGAAAAGACCGGGGACGAGTGTGAACTGGGCGATAGGCAAACCTATCTACTCCTATTAGATATGTATATATATGTGTATATGTGTGTGTGTGTTTGTGTGAGAGAGAGAGAGAGATTGTGTGTGTGTGTGTGTTTAGGCACCATATCTTCATTCTAGCATGTTTCATTGAATAACATAGACATATTATGTCTATGTTATTTTTAAACTGATCCTTTCCAGTTGTCTAATCAGTTTCTTGATGAAATTCAGCGCCGTAGATTTTTTACTACCCAACTACTTTGGATCCCCTCCAAGACAACTCAAAAATTGTGAATATAAAAGCATAGGGATCACCGTTTCAATAAGTTTGTCTTTGTAATTCACACCTGAAGACGATTTAGGGGACTTCAAATACTTGGGTATGGAAATACTATAATTTTGTATTTGAGCAGCAGACCCTCTTTTATACTAGGTACTGCGGTAAAGTTTTTCACTTTCCTTGTCCGCTGTCAGGTCATGCAATTTAATTGTGTATTTGGAAATAGATCCCTCTTTTGTGCAATTACCTTATCAGTGGTTTTTAACAAAACTTGCATAAAAGAGGGTCTACTGCCCAAATAGATAATTATTAAATTACAATTACAATTAAATTAAATTACAATTACAATTAAATTAAATTACAATTAC